CGTGGGTCCCCGTTTCTTCTCTCCTGAATATAGGGATCCGCAAACACTTGACACTAATCCACCACTGAGTCTTATTGTGTCAATTATCTTGATTTTTCATCTCTTTATTGAGCATATACATGTATGTTAGAGAAACGCGAAATGAGGTTGCGTGCCATAAAAAGCCAATTAAACCGAAAATTCAATAATATTTATTTAAATTAATTTCCATTTAAAAAACGAAAGAATATTTTAACTAGAAAATGCTACTAATGATAATAATTTTAAAAGTGTGAGTGTAATTAGAATTTCAAAATGCAAGGCTCAGAAGAGAATATTTCTTATTTAACCAATTATAATTATTAATGGTGAAGTTAGAATTTTATTAGATATTCGGTTTAATTTTCATTTTATAGCACAAAACTTCAAAGATTATATTATTACACAAACAATTAAATTAGATTCATATCTCACAAAATTTAACATTTAAATAAGAATCATATAGAACACACTTTTGAATTAGCATTTTATTCCACTGGCTTTTCAATTAACATTTTATTAACGGGGGCGTCGATATATATATGGGACATTTCACGTCAACCGGCCCAAAGCTATGTCCAAAATTCTATGCAATAAAAATAAACATGTAATAAATGAAAATACTCGTAAACTCATCCCCTTTCAATTGCAAAGTGGCAGAATTGAAAATTCAAAATGGTATCCTTACTATGTCAAGTGGAAGCGGCTAACTTCAGAAATAATTAAATATATTTATTAAATTTCTTTTAGAAAATTATGCAAAAATTTTAGGTCACCACATATTTTAATGTTTTCGAGGTCGCTGATTACGAATCTGAAGTCAGTTTTTCAAAATTCAAAATGGCGAATCCAATATGGCGGACGAATTTTTTTTAAATTCATTGAATTTGCTTGAAACTTGTTGCTTGGGGGTTTTCGAGGTCGCTGATTACGAATCTGAAATCAGTTTTGCAAAATTGAAAATGGCGGATTTAATATGACGGACGAATTTTTAAAAATTGATTGAATTTGCTTGAAACTTTTTACTTGGGGGTTTTGGAGGTCGCTGATCATGAATCTGAAGTCCTACCGTTCTGAGATGCCTGAGGTCTTCCTTAAACACAACTTTTCCTTAATTTTTCTTTACTCTCTGCTATGATTTAGAAGGAAATTAGGTACAATATTTGTAGATAAAATTATTCACCTTGTTGCGAGTCAAAGAAACTGTATAAATCGAAAGGAAGAAAACGAATAATCAAATAATGTGGCTGATTCAGTACATGTAATTATTAACTGATTAACGAAGTTTTAGTAACTTTTTAAATGCGGCTGTAATAATAATTTATTTTCTTGAATGTTCATGTAAGTAGTAACAACATTTGAGCATCGTAAAAACATGGACGCTATCTAAATTATAAAAGTACTTATTCAGACTTCGTAAGATATGTTTTAGCGATTGTCATTTTTTTCACGATGTTCAAATGTTTTTATTAAACCCGCAGTGTGTGATCTGTAAAGTATCATGTGATGGCATAAGAGCTATTTTAAAGAGAGAAGCCACTCATGCTAGCTTGCAATCCTCACCAGACAAAGCCATTTTAAATGCAAGGACTCTTTAACTATGGGCTAAGCAAAATATCAAGACTTCGCAGATTTTCTTTTACAACAAGCAATAACACGAGAGAGTTTTAACGAAAACTTGCTAGTAGATTTTCTAGAGCACCTAGTGTTACAAAAATTCAATCTGCTCATTCTTTTATTGTAACATCAGAGAAAAAATTAAAAATATTTAAATATTCAAATGCACCTCATCCTATTGCAGTTATGCAATATTAAAATATAATTACATTGGTTTGAATGTATTTTGTAAATTTAATTCAAACGGACTTTTTTAAGGCCACAAAAAAATTATGGTTTAAAAATTACAACAATCAGCCTTTTTCAAGGCTACCACATCTTACAGTTCATAATTATAACAATCGGCCTTTTTAAAGGCCACAAAGTATCACAAAGTATGGATTTGCCATTTTGAATTTTGAAAAACTGACTTCAGATTCGTAATCAGCGACCTCGGAAACCCCCGAGTAACAAGTTTCAAGCAAATTCAATGAATTTAAAAAAAAAATCCGTCATATTGGATCCGACATTTTTAATTTTGAAAAACTGACTTCAGATTATATATATATATATATATATATGGGACGTTTCACGTCAACCGGCCCAAAGCTATGTCCAAAATTCTATGCAATAACAATAAACATGTAATACATGAAAATACTCGTAAACTCATCCCCTTTCAATTGCAGAGTGGCAGAATTGAAAATTCATAATGGCGTCCTTACTATGTCAAGTGGAAGCGGCTAACTTCAGAAATAAGTAAATATATTTATTAATTTCTTTTAGAAAATTATGCAAAAATTTTAGGTCACCACATATTTAAATGTTTTCGAGGTCGCTGATTACGAATCTGAAGTCAGTTTTTCAAAATTCAAAATGGCGGATCCAATATGGCCGGATTATTTTTTAAAAATTAATTGAATTTGCTTGAAACTTGTTACTCGGGGGTTTTCGAGGTCGCTGATTACGAATCTGAAGTCAGTTTTTCAAAATTCAAAATGGCGGATCCAATATGGCGGATTATTTTTTAAAAATTTATTGAATTTGCTTGAAACTTGTTACTCGGGAGTTTTCGAGGTCACTGATTACGAATCAGAAGTCAGTGTTTCAAAATTAAAAATGGCGGTTGCAATATGGCGGATTATTTTTTAAAAATTCATTGAATTTTATTGAAACTTGTTACTCGGGGGTTTCCGAGGTCGCTGATTACGAATCTGAAGTCAGTTTTTCAAAATTAAAAATGTCGGATCCAATATGACGGATTTTTTTTTTAAATTCATTGAATTTGCTTGAAACTTGTTACTCGGGGGTTTCCGAGGTCGCTGATTACGAATCTGAAGTCAGTTTTTCAAAATTCAAAATGGCAAATCCATACTTTGTGATACTTTGTGGCCTTTAAAAAGGCCGATTGTTATAATTATGAACTGTAAGATGTGGTAGCCTTGAAAAAGGCTGATTGTTGTAATTTTTAAACCATAATTTTTTTGTGGCCTTAAAAAAGTCCGTTTGAATTAAATTTACAAAATACATTCAAACCAATGTAATTATATTTTAATATTGCATAACTGCAATAGGATGAGGTGCATTTGAATATTTAAATATTTTTAATTTTTTCTCTGATGTTACAATAAAAGAATGAGCAGATTGAATTTTTGTAACACTAGGTGCTCTAGAAAATCTACTAGCAAGTTTTCGTTAAAACTCTCTCGTGTTATTGCTTGTTGTAAAAGAAAATCTGCGAAGTCTTGATATTTTGCTTAGCCCATAGTTAAAGAGTCCTTGCATTTAAAATGGCTTTGTCTGGTGAGGATTGCAAGCTAGCACGAGTGGCTTCTCTCTTTAAAATAGCTCTTATGCCATCACATGATACTTTACAGATCACACACTGCGGGTTTAATAAAAACATTTGAACATCGTGAAAAAAATGACAATCGCTAAAACATATCTTACGAAGTCTGAATAAGTACTTTTATAATTTAGATAGCGTCCATGTTTTTACGATGCTCAAATGTTGTTACTACTTACATGAACATTCAAGAAAATAAATTATTATTACAGCCGCATTTAAAAAGTTACTAAAACTTCGTTAATCAGTTAATAATTACATGTACTGAATCAGCCACATTATTTGATTATTCGTTTTCTTCCTTTCGATTTATACAGTTTCTTTGACTCGCAACAAGGTGAATAATTTTATCTACAAATATTGTACCTAATTTCCTTCTAAATCATAGCAGAGAGTAAAGAAAAATTAAGGAAAAGTTGTGTTTAAGGAAGACCTCAGGCATCTCAGAACGGTAGGACTTCAGATTCATGATCAGCGACCTCCAAAACCCCCAAGTAAAAAGTTTCAAGCAAATTCAATCAATTTTTAAAAATTCGTCCGTCATATTAAATCCGCCATTTTCAATTTTGCAAAACTGATTTCAGATTCGTAATCAGCGACCTCGAAAACCCCCAAGCAACAAGTTTCAAGCAAATTCAATGAATTTAAAAAAAATTCGTCCGCCATATTGGATTCGCCATTTTTAATTTTGAAAAACTGACTTCAGATTCGTAATCAGCGACCTCGAAAACCCCCGAGTAACAAGTTTCAAGCAAATTCAATTAATTTTTAAAAAATAATCCGGCCATATTGGATCCGCCATTTTGAATTTTGAAAAACTGACTTCAGATTCGTAATCAGCGACCTCGAAAACATTAAAATATGTGGTGACCTAAAATTTTTGCATAATTTTCTAAAAGAAATTTAATAAATATATTTAATTATTTCTGAAGTTAGCCGCTTCCACTTGACATAGTAAGGACACCATTTTGAATTTTCAATTCTGCCACTTTGCAATTGAAAGGGGATGAGTTTACGAGTATTTTCATTTATTACATGTTTATTTTTATTGCATAGAATTTTGGACATAGCTTTGGGCCGGTTGACGTGAAATGTCCCATATATGTTATATAATTCTAAAAAATATACTAATATCCAAACGATAATTACAGAATGGGAGTCGTTTAAATTATATGAATCATCTGAACTGTTCGAATCTTCAGAGCTTGGTTCTTGTAAAGCATTTAAATTTAATACATTTAATATTCTTCTTTGATGTCGAATACTGTATCCTTGTAAATGTTCCATGGTTAATTATATGGAAAAATAAATATTTCTCATACCTCAATTTAAAACTGTCAAAGTACGTTAAATATATTTTATATAATTACGTAGAGAAAAATTAATTAATTTGTTTTATTAGTGACAAAACAAAATTAATCAATGATTAGGCTTTTGTTCGTACATAGCTTAACATAGCCTAAGATTTGACAGTTAAGAAATAAGTCGTGAAAAAATGTTCGTCTTATTGCAATGGACAGAATCGAACAAAATTACTGTGATGGAGGAAACTCCAGATTTAGAAAAAAATAATGAAGGCGATACTGTCGAAGTTTTCTATGGTGACGATAGCTATAAGGCAATTTTAATTAAACGAAGCGGTGAGAAAAAAAAATGTAATCATATGATTGTATATTTTTGAAATTATAAGTATACTTAAAAAAATTTATAAAAGTACATGAAATATATACCTATATATAGAATAATAATAAATATTAATAAATTATTATTATAATTATTAATAATTATACTAAAATTATTTTTATTTTTATTTAAAATATATTAAAAAACAATAGAACATTTTTTTTAAATGTTTAGAATATATATAAAATACTATTAAAAATAATAAATAATAATACATAAAAAATAATGTATAAAATTTATTTGTAATAATAGTTTTAAAAATAATTTTTAATTTCAATTTCATAACCTGTCTTTCTATTTGTAGAAGATAAACAGTTTCTTCAAAAAATTGATGTTTCTGTGGAAGGAGAAATTATTAGTAAAAATGCGAAAGAAAAAGGGAAAAATAATAAAAAATCGAAAAGCAAAAAGTAGCGGAATAATTAAAACAGAAAATGAGGATAAAAACAAATAAAATATTGGAAAAACACATTTCAACAAAAATTACATTTCCAATTGATGTTGGCAGTTTTGAAAGTAAATTATGCAATTCCTAAAAAAATAAAAAATACTTAAAAAGCAATTTATACATTACTTTTACTAATTTTATTTATTAATTATTTTATTTATTTCTTAATTTTATTATTTTAAAAAGATTTAAATTATTTTTTTTTAATTTTAAGTATTTTTTAATTTTTCTATTTGTCTATTTAGATAAAGAAAATGAGAAACAAGAAAAGAATAAAGTACAGGAAAAGGAAGTCAAAGAAGATACACAAAATGAAAAGAGAGAAGGTGAAGATCAGGGTAATGAGAAAATAGAAATTAATAAAACTAAACAAAACGAGAAGAAAGATAAGGAATCGACAGGAAAAAGAAAGAGAGAAGACGAAAAGCACGAAAATGAGAAAAGAAAAACAAAGAAAGTCGAACAAAAAGAAGAGAAAGAAAAGACAGATAGTAAAGACAATGCAGATGCAACAAATAAAAAGAACGAAAACCAAGAAAATAAAAAAGAAATGAAAGAAAAGAATCAAAAAGAGAAGAAAGTCAATAAAGATACGAAAAATAAAAACAAAGATAATGAAATGGAAGGAAATGAGAAAAGAAAAATGGAAAATGTTGGACAGAAATAAAAAAACGAAAAAAAAGACAGTGATAGTGCAAAAGATAAAAAGAAAAAAAACGAACAGACAAGAAATGAGATGAAGATTGGGGAAAAAGAGATGAAGCAAAAAGAAGGAAGCGAAGATGTAAAAAATGAAATAAAGATTGGGAAAATAGGCATGAAACAAAAAGAAGAAAGTGAAAACAAGCAAGAAAATGAAAAGAAGAATGTAGAAAAAGAGGTAAAAGAAAAAGGGAGTGAAAATGTAAAAAATAAGAAGAAAAAAAGTGATGAACAAGAAAAAGAGAAGAGAAATGGGGCAAAAGAGATAAACAGAAAAAAAGGAAGTGAAAATAAACGAAATAAAAAGAAAGAATACAAGCAGGAAAATGAGATGAATGAAGAAAAAGAGGTAAAGGAAAAAGAAGAAACTGAGGATGAAAAAATTAAGAAGAAAGAAAGTGCTGAAGAAGAAAAAGAGAAGACGAATGGGGTAAAAAAATGAATAAAAAAGAAAAAAGTAAAGATCCAAGAAATAAAAAGAAAGAAAACGAGCAAGAAAATGAGATGAATGGAGAAAAAGAAGAAAAAGAAAATGAGGAAAATAAGAAGAAAGAAAGTGATGAAGAAGAAAATGAGAATAGAAATAATGACAAAGATGATGAAATGATTGATGAAAATGTTACAATTGATGAAAATATTGAAAATGAAGAAAGACAATCTTCTGTAGTGGAAGACTCCAAGATGGATTCGATATTAATCAATTTATTTGATGGAATAGGTACCTGCCTATAGCAACATTTATTATTTGCTTACTCAGAGAATGTCTCATCTATAAATTGTAAATAAATAAATAATTTGCACAATTTTTCACAGTTATAACTCCAGATACACTTATCTTACTGGAGAGAATTTCGGAACTCGTACGCAAAAAACTCGGAAGGAATGTTGAAGACAAAAAATCAAAATCACCATCATTAACAGTCAGTTTAATCACATTTTATATTAATTTTTTAAATTTCAATTTCTGCATAAAGAGTATTTAACATTATTTTATTTTCTTCTCGTGCTTAAAAAATTTTTTCAGAATAAAAATGTTTTTAGTTTTAACTCAATTATGTATTTTTAAAAAGGGAATCACGCAATTATGCAAGGAGTTTCCAGTCTTCATTCAGTCGTCCAAATTATTTATTTTAAAAACATTCCGAAATAATCCCAATGAATTAACACGGAGATTACTTATAGAACTCGTCGGACGAGAAGAATTAAAAAATATGACATCCTTAGGAAAGGGAAAGAAAAAGGGAATTCCTGACAATATAAGAGAAGCTGTTTTCTGTAAGCAAAGAATCTTATCCTATCTAATTATCTAGTCTAATTATATTGTTCACAAGATATATATTTTTTTAATTTATGCGACTTTAAAATTTTTGATTAAAAGACCAATTTATAGCCAAAATAAAGTAGTTAGAAATTTTTTGATATGTTGTATAAGTTTTAGCAAGTATGACATATTTTTCAGCATTTATTACACACCGAAAAAAAATATTGTTGATTTCAGAGGATTCCTCTAGAATATCACGCAAAGGATTTCCTTTTATTTTAAGAGTAATATTCTTGATTTAAAAGGATTTTCGCAAGAGAAATTTTCCCCAAGAATATTTTTTTGTTGCACAGCAATTTTCAATAAGATTGTTAAAGTTGATTGTTTTTTTGTAATTTCAGTCTTATAAAAAGAAAATTAAAAACATTTTCAAAAAACTTTCCAAATTTTATAGTTTTTTGATACCACCCGGTTTTGTGTAAGCTTGCAAAAACTTGCAGCAAGCTTGCTACATGTTTCCTGCAACTTTACAGGTTACATGGAATAGATTTTAAATTTTATTAAATTTTATAAATACAGTATACGTTCAAAGAAAAAGGACAAATGAAGAAATATTTACAAGAGGCGACAATTACACAGTCATTAACAACATGTGTGGAACCCTCAGAAACCCCAAGCACAATGATAATAAAAAACGACAAAATAAGACAGCTGACTGCGATGAGGAAAGTTCAGATGACGAAATGAAAAAAAAACAGAAAAAAATGATTAAGAATTGATTAATTTAATCTAATTTTATTTAATAATTTTATTTAATAATTTAATTTAAAGAATTTAATCAAATAACTGAAACATTAAAACATTATTAATTCGTGACAAATAAATTTTAATGGAAATTTATCTTATAAAATTCGAAGATTTTATTAATTTATAATTATAATGTTTTATTATTTTTATTATAATTTTTTAATTAAAAAAATTAATTTCCCATGGTTTCCAAGATTTTATCAATGGTCAAAAATCCATTAATTAAAAAAATTTATTTCCCATAGTTTCCAAGATTTTAGCAGTGGTAAAAAATCGGTCAAATTGAGAAAAAATTTCCCATGGTTTCCATGATTTTATCAATGGTCAAAAATCCATTAATTAAAAAAAATAATTTCCCATGGTTTCTAAGATTTTAGCAGTGGTAAAAAATCCGTAAAATTAAAAAAAATTCCCATGGTTTCGAAGATTTTATCAATGGTCAAAATTCCATTAATTAAAAAAATAATTTTCCCATGGTTCGCAAGATTTTAGCAATGGTTTAAAATCAAAAAAATTAAAAAACATTTTCCCATGGTTTCCAAGATTTTAGCAATGGTTTAAAATTAAAAAAATTAAAAAACTTTTTCCCATGGTTTTCAAGATTTTAGCAATAGTCCAAAAACTGTAAATTTAAAAAAAAAATTCCCATGGTTGGCAAGTTTTTAGCAATGGTCAAAAATCAGTAAAATTAAAGAAAAATTTCCAAGGTTTCCAAGTTTTCAGCAATGGTTAAAAATCCGTAAAATTAAAAAAAAAATTTCCCATGGAAAATTGTACCATGGGAAACGGACAAGAGCAATGATTTTTAAGATTTTTGCCTAGGTTTAAACCATGGGTCTAATCGTATTTACCTTGGCAGTCGATTTCGCCCATGGTTTTCATGATTTTACCCATGGTTCCATTTCCACGCGGGTTATTATTTCAACACTATTGCACTAAATCGATTTTATTACTTTACAAATTCAGCAAAACTGGCATGGCAACAGGCCCCACCTTCCCTTTCCACCTACAATTTCGAAATTCAAAATCAGCAAAATTTCCCACCAGGTGCCCTAAGCCGACCTGTAGAGGCATCTCCAGCCCCTAAATTTTTGTTCAGTACGGTTTCCGCGAGCATCAAAGTTCCAACTCTGTTTGGAGCGGCCCGGATTAAAAAGCCTATGCGCTCCCGTCCGGTACCGACGACCCGAAATAATTTGTGTGCTTACACGAATAATTTCGGTCGGACGTAAAGTAAAACGCTAACTTACTCCGAAGTCCACGGAGGCCGGTTAAGACTCAATTCAAGTGAAGAGTTTTTAAATGTAATTAATTTTCGTTTTCTAAATTTTTGTATAAAGACCAGCCGGGTGCGGAGAATGGTAAACAGCCGAGATATCATCCGAAAACTTTTCAGCAACATTGCGAGTCGCTATTGAATAGATATATACATTTTGTAATCAGGTATTACGCAACGAGTGCGAATTTCGTTTCAAAGTCATTAATTATTTATTCATGAAAATGTATTATTATATTATCCTAAATATATCGCAAAGTATTTATATTATTGTTGCAAAAGAATTGTTAAATTTTATATTATTAAAAAATGAAATTTAAAATAGAAATTAAAATAATAAGATTAGAAATTAAAATAATATTTCTGCAGCCATGAATGGGAACGCGTTGAGTGAAGGCTCCACGCGCGTCCCTCGACCTTACGCGAGAGAGAAAGAAGATTGTATGTAGCGGCGAAGCGTTCTCTCTGAGACACACTGTTCTCGCGGAGTACTGCGTTCTCTCTCAGTCGCATGGTTTTCTCCCTCGCTCCAATGACTAGTACGCGTCTCTCTTGCTCTTACGCTCTCGAATGCATAGTGGATGCTTGCTCTCTCGCACTCATTAGGTATTACGACCATGATACACATTAGTATGGCTGGGGACGTCTATGCTGTACGCTATGGCAGCAATACACCCATGCTTCCTTACATACAGCCTATCCTACCTTGCCCCTCTGTATCACTCAAGCCAACATGCTATGCCTGCCATTGCTTTACTATAATGTGTTTTTCAGATTTATATGCAACTGATCAATTCCAGATCAATATTGAGACAATTGATGTCAAAAACTGGAATTGCAACAACATTCAAAATACTACAAAATAGAATAGAATTTCTTTCTGCTTGGAAATGTCCATTATTCTAAATTATATTAACCTTTTTAGGAGAGGGTTAATTCTTAAAAAAAATCTTAAAGATTAAGTAAATACAAAATTATTCAAAAGAATAATTAGAAATAATTTTATTTCGAAATAACTTTATTATTTCAACACTTTTGCACTAAATCGATTTTATTACTTTACAAATTCAGCAAAACTGGCATGGCAACAGGCCCCACCTTCCCTTTCCACCTACAATTTCGAAATTCAAAATAAGCAGAATTTCTCACCAGGTGCCCTAAGCCGACCTGTAGAGGCTTCTCCAGCCCCTAAATTTTTGTTCAGTACGGTTTCCGCGAGCATCGAAGTTCCAACTCTGTTTAGAACCGCCCGGATTAAAAAGCCTATGCGCTCCCGTCCGGTACCAAGGACCCGAAATAATTTGTGTGCTTACCCGAATAATTTCGGTCGGACGTAAAGTAAAACGCTAATTTACTCCGAAGTCCACGGAGGCCGACTAAGAATCAATTCAAGTGAAGAGTTTTTAAATGTAATTAATTTTCGTTTTCTAAATTTTTATCGAAAGACCAACCGGGTGCTGAGTGCCCGCGTCTGCCCTTGCAATTGACGGCTTAACGAATTAGAGTAAGAGGGAGTGGATTTGTCTGTCCCTGTTTAAAATTTGTTCGCGCAATAAGAGAACATACGGCAAACCGCGAATGCGCCACTCGAGTGATTGTGTGAGGACGATTTTTCAAAATTCATGTTTTTGCCCGTCGAAAAGAAATTGCCGACGGTAGAATAAGGAAGCGGAACGGTAAGTACGCAGTATCGTTCCGGGGTAATTTTGTAATTTTAGTAACTATATCCTTCTTCCCTCCCTCCTTCTTGTAAGAGAGAGTGGAATATATTTGTCAGCAGTACTTTTAAATGATAAAATAAAATTAATAATTTTTTTAATTCTTTCTTCTCTTCATTTTCTGTTCCCTCTATTCTAATAGTAACAAGTTATAAAAAGGAAGTCATGGTATATTTTCCTATCTTATCTTAGAAAATATCAACAATTAGAACGAAACGAACCCATAAATAAAAACAAGGTCCTTCAGGCTTTGGCAGTTTGGACCTCCGAGAACCTTTGATATTTGGGCCATTTAAAAAGCCCGATGTATTGTTCTAATTATTTTTAATAATTATTATTTCAAAGCAAATAATTTCTTCCGTTCGTAACAATCACGATGAAGTAATGGAGGAGGAAGATGAACAAGAAAATGAACCTATAAGAGCCCCAAAAGTACAACAGCGCACATTTTTTATATTTTATAAATAAACTATTTTTTTATTATAAACGAAACAATTTATTCATAAATTAAAAGAAATTTATTTGTTTAGGGAGGCATGACAGAGTCCAATTTGTCCTTAAAAATTTAAATAAAATTCTTTCTTGTTTTTCTTTCTTTTTGGCAATTGAAATTAAATTATTTTTTTTGAAACAAATTAAAAAATTTTTTATGTTAAAAAATTCATTTGTGTAAGGGGGCATTGAAATAGTATTTCAATAGTTAAAATTTTAATTGCAAAATATTTAATTATTATTTAAAAAAATATAAATTAATTAATATTAAAAATGAAATTAGATAAAAATTGAAATAAAACTAGATAAATTGAAATTCTGGAAATAATAGAAAGAGAAGGTAGATATAAACTCGAATAAAAATAA